TTCATGAAGAGGATAACATGCTATTGGAAATAGCCATGCCATGAGCTACAACCATTGAAGAGAAAGAACCCATGCTTTGTCAGAACTCATGTGCAAGAATGGAGAAAGAGGCATGTGCACAAAAGAGAAAATAAATACTTCCTTTAAGAAAACTAGTTTCAAGAAAGAATATATTATATAATAATATGTTGTTTTCAAGAATACTAAAAGAGAGAATAGAAGGAGTCGGTTGAAAGCATGGAGCATTGACTCCACAAGCAATAAAAGAAGTAGCCCATGTGCAAGATAATATAAAGCTTTCTTTGGAGAAAACTAGTTTCAAGAAAGAAAGAATATATTATAATAATATGTTGTGGTCACACCAACATGAGGTAACTTCATCCAAGACTCTTGCTTTTGAAAACAAGTTTCAAGAAGTTTAAACTGATCAGAAGATATTTGAAGTCTTCATCGAATGAAATCAAGAGCTGAAGATATTTTAATAAAATTGATACAGCTCAAAGCGGATTGAAACAGAATATCAAGGATTGATACAGAATAAAGCAAAACACGTTTTTAAAGCATGTATCAATCCATGTGTATGAATGCAAAGTGAAAGATGGATTAAAACAGACTGGGAATGATTGATACATAATGAAATAGAAAACGATTTTTAAGGCTTATATCAATCCTGTGTATTAATCCATGTGAATGTATGCAATGATTTTTGAATTGCAAAGATGACACTTTTGAATCTAGCATGTGCATTCAAACAGACTTAAACCAATACATATACCTCAGCAAAATACATTGGTTTTGTCATAAGAGAAGAGCCAAAATATAATCCTTACAATCTCTCCCTTTGGCCTTTTCTTAAACAAGACCACAAGACAAAGAGTATTTTGATATAATCTGTTTGGAGTTATGTATTGATCAGAAGTATGGTTCTTGTATTACAGATCAATACATCACATTTCCAATTTTAAACAAATCACACACGAGATAAACATTTAGAACGTGTGAATTAGTTTGAGTGTATGCATGATGATTCGTGAGTGAATGCATGTTTAGACTTACCTTGAGCAGCAATGAAGACTTGTAAAGATCACTGGATAAATTCTGACTTCACCAATAGACCTAAACTAGCTTGGTAAACTATGCAGACTCCTAATCAACATACATTGGTTTTGATCTAAGAGAAGAGCCAAATACAATTTATTACAATTCTTACAATGTATTTTGTTTAATATTTTCCACGTAATAGTAGGAAGCCAGAGTTTAACAATAAATGATTCCATGCAAAGGACCCACTAGTGTAGTGGTTTGGAACAATTGCTCCCCCCAGGCCCTTCCTGGGTTCAAGTTCTAGCATCAGTGTAGTGTGTGTGTGAGTTTAGTATATTATTGCCCATCTCAATAGGAAAAGTCCTCCAACAAA